CCATGCCTGGGTCCCAGGGATGCTGAATTCCAGTTGGGAAGGCTGGGTTCTGGTCAGGGATGCTGGATCCCAGTTGGGAATGCTGGGTTCTGGTCAGGGATGCTGCATCCCAGTCAGGAATGCTGGATTCTGCTCAGGGATGCTGGTTTCTGGTTGGGAATGCTGCATTCCAGTTGGGAATGCTGGATTCTGTTTGGAGATGCCGTGTCCTGCTCGGGGATGCTCCCCAGGAGGAATTTGCAGCCAGACTGGAGGAGAGGAGGTGTGTGCTGGGGAAGTGTCCTGTTACCTGGGCTCTGCTCCTCTTACAAAACAGCACCAGCTCTTGGCTGAGTCACCTCTGGGAGCATCAATAATTAAGGACGAGTGGAGCTCGTTAGGAATGAATGAATGAAGGGAAGGAATGAATGAAGGCACGGAGCAGTTCGGGATGTGCTGGCACCAGTTGGTTTGCAGGGGGCTTAGCACTGCAGTGGGTCACTCCTGGTGGCTCAGGTGGGCAGAGTGGGGGACCAAAAAACCCTTCCCTGCTCCCAGCATTGCAGGCAGAGGCTGGGGGGGTCTCCTCATTCCCAGCACAGCCCGGACCACCGGGATGCTGAGCCCCAGCACCCATCCCGGGGGCTCAGCACTCCACCAGATGGGACCTGTGGTGGTGGGATGCTGGATTAAGCGATGAGAGGGGGATTATGAGGGATTAGTCCAGATCAGTGTCCAACCAGGGGCTGGAGCAGGGCTTTATGTACTTGGTAAATAACCGGTTGCGCTGCCGTGCCCACGGCTGGCCCTGCCAGTGCCGTGCCAGCTGTTTCCCAGGGATTGCAGGGGTCCCTCTCCTTGATCCCCATCATGTGGCACAGCAGAGGAGATGCAAACAGGCAGGAGTGGGGAAGGTGGTGGCTTGGCTGGGCAGTGAAGCTGCCAGGACCTTCCAGGGGTTCCAGTGGCGATGCCCGACCGTGCTCCGGAGCATCGTCCCTGCCAATGGGACAGGATGGAGCGTGAGCTGGGGGGGTCAGGGGGCTGCTGCCTGGCCCAGCCCCCCTGGAGCCGCCCACCACAGCCCAGGAGGCTTCTGCTGGTGCTGGTGGGGTCCTGGGGAGAGGCTGAGCTTGGGGACACGCACTGCTGGTGGCATTAGGACGGCGAGGGCTGATCCACCCTGGTGGTGAGTACAGGTCTGTGCCGTGTCAGGATGTCCTGGGTGATTTTTTGGGGCAGAGAGGCTGCAGAGCTGGGGTGGGCTGGGCTGGGGAGCTGTGTGCCCTGTGTGTGTCTCAGTGGGGTGTTCAGGGACCCCCCCCACCCTTTGCTCCCTCCCTCCTCGTTGCAAGTGATGTGCAAGGGTCAGGCAGGAACTGTGGAGGATCCACTGGGACAGACCCTGTGCCCCCTCCCCGAGGGTCCCTTGGCAGGGTCAGCCTTCCTGCCTGGTTTAGGAACAGTGCAGATATTAATGAGCTCTGCAGGCTTGGAGTGTTGTACAGGAACAGCTGCTCCATCCCGGGGCAGGGTCCTTTCCCCACGCATTTTTTCCATGGTTTTGTGGGTTTTTTTGGCTTCTTATCTTCTTTGAAGTGGCCTGTGGGAGGTCCAGAGCTGCTCCTGTGCCCTTCCACCCTCTTTCTGCCAACTCTCCTCTGTGCCCCTGGTCCCTGTGCTCCCCTCCTGACCTCTCCCTCTCTCCAGCCGGATCCAGCAGCTCCCGATGACCGCGGTGTCCATCACTGCTGGATCCAGAGGGGGGACCCCAATCCTCACCCAGACTCCTCAAAAACTGCTGCCACCTCAGTGGTTCCCTCCAGCTCTGAGAATTGAGCCCTGGAAGCTGGGGAGGGAAATACTGGGGAGGGGTGTGGAGGAAGGGAGGGAGGATGAGGACAAGGAGAGGGGAGAGGCGGGGATGGGGAGAGGAGCATCCTTATCTAGTCAGGCAGATATAATGAAGCTGCTTCTGCACTGACAGCAAAGGGATTGTTGGGGGGTTTTAGGAGCTAAAAGAATCACTTAATTGTAGCTTTTTTTAGCTCTGGGGAGATAAAAGACAAAAAAACCCACCCGAGTCTCCCTCCGTTCCCCGTCCCACCTCTTTTATATAAGGCTCCCAGGGAGGCAGTGGGGGAGCTGGGGATGCTCCTGTCCCCACCAGAGTGGGGGAATCTTCCCCCTGCCTTCTCCAGAGGGGCTGGGGAGGGTAGATGGGATCTCTGGGAGAGGGTTTTCACTGGGACAGTCACCACGACAGCACCCGTGGGCAATCCCAGGCTGTAAAGCTTTGCTGCTCCAACGTGATTCCCTCCCCTCTGGAATGCTGGAGGCTTCCAGGGGCTTCAGTCCCTGGCAGGAAACAAGCAGGTTTGCTCCTGAGGTGGGCTGTGGGCACCTGACCTTTGGGTGCCCATCACCCACCCACCCTCTCACCCCCTCTGCCCAGGGAGGGACCTTCTGCACCCTTGTCCTGTGGCCTTGGGTGGCTTTTGTTGTGCTCTGGGTGGCTTTTGTTTAGCTTTGGGTGGTGGCTGCACTCCTTCACCTCCCCTTCCGTGCATTCCCTGCTTCCCACGCCGGTGGGGGCAGCTCCAGGATGCCGGGTTTGGGGTCGATGCTGCTGCCTGGGATCATTTAACCCTCTGTAAATGCTGGTTCAGCGGGAAATGGGTCATTTCCCAGCGTGGGATCTCTGCAGCACAGGGAACAACAAGCAGAGGGGCTGTGTCCCCTCCCCTCCACCCCCTCCTTGCCACCACAGCGGGGAGGGTTTCAGATCCCACAGGGAGCGTTGGGGTTTTATGGGTGTGGAGTCATTTTAGACTCCACGGGGACGGATGGAGCTGCCTGAAGGTGCCCTGTCCCAGCGTGTTTGGGATGAGCCATGGCATTGGTGACTGTGACAGGGTCCCACCAGCTCAGGGGAGGGGCTGTGGGTGCTGTGGGAGGGGCTGGGGGGCAGCAGAGCCCCCCCAAGAGGTGCCAGGGGCTGCCGAGCCACCGGCAGGGGCGGGAGGCAGGATGTGATCTGTCAGTTAATGCATCATCTGAGAGCAGGAGAAATCATTAGCGAGGCAGAGCAATAAAACCTCCAGTTCCCTGCGAGGTGGCTCATTAATGGGCTGCCGGAGGCCAAGGTCAGAGCAGCCACTGCTGTCCCCTCCGTGGGCATCTCTGCTTCCCAGCCCTGCTCTGGGTCCTGCTCCCCCAGGTAAAACATGGCAGAGAACCCCCCCTGCCCAGAGCACTTGGAATTGTGTCCCCCCCACTGCAGGACCTGCCCTTTCCAGCTTACCAGCATGCTGGGCTGCACGAGGGTCCCGTGCCTGGCTGTGGAGGGTCCTGTGCCTGTGAGGGGCACTGGGGAGGAGGGGTGGGGCTCCACCCCGCTGCCAGCAACAGTTCTGGGGGGCTGCTGCTCCCTGCTCGGGCTGGGGGAGCTCATTGTGTGAGCATCAGGCCAGAACGGTCCCTTCCGGGCTAAAAATCCATTAACTTCCATCCTGCCTGTTTTCTCCCTTTTTTTTGTTGTTGTTGTTGTTGTTTGACTGATGCCATAATTATCTCAAGCAGATGAGCTTAATTACCCGAGGTCAGCGGTGCCTGCAGGGCAGGGGCAGGAGGGGTCTGGGCTCACCTGGAGCAGGGAAGTTCTCCCTGTCATCTGCTCCTGCAGGTGTCCCACGGGCTGTAGGGACCCCAGGGCATCGGGGTGTGGTGTTATAGGGGCTGTAGGGACTCCAGGGCATTGGGATTGGGGGGTATTTAGGGGTGGGGAGTGAAAGGAAGGGATGGATGGATGGATGGATGGATGGATGGATGGATGGATACAGGGCAGGGTGAGACCCCTCTGGCATGGAGCACAGGAAGGATCTGCCTGGGTCCATCCCTGCACCCTCTCCTTGATGTCAGACTGGAGCATCTGCGCTGCCAGCGCCCTTTGTGCTAAAACAACAACAACGAAACCGAGCAGTCAATTTTCCAGCAATTAGCTCCAGCGAGAACATTTCAAGTCCTCCAAAACCCCGCCTCGCAGGATTAATTAAATCTTCCAATTAATGTCTAATTTAAATGATGATGATGGCTGTTATCATTTCATATTGATTTTTTTTTTTTTTTTCCGGTGTTAAAATAGAGCTGTTGTCCCTTCCACTGCCACCTTTTCCACACCCCAGGACCTGTTTGTTGCCTCGGTTTGATTTGCCAACGTTAAACACGCGTCTGGGAAATCAAACCTGGTGCTTTAGCGGCGGGCACCTGTGCCAAGGGGACCCAGACACACATTTGGGGGATGTTTGTGCCGAAAATCCCCGTCCAGAGCGTGAACTTCCCTGCGGTGAACACCCTGGGAAATGGGGGCTCCTGGTGAATTAAATTTTTCCCCTCTGTAAACCCCCAATCCGTCACTTTCCCCAGGCTCACACGGCCATAAACCTCGCTGCTGCTTTGCTTCCAGAACAATTCCGGGCGTTTATGTTTCCCAGGAGCCGGTTCATTGGTGTAATGGATGTGTAACCTCCGGTAATTGCGAAGGTTATTCCAGAGCCTGCACGCCAGTCCTGGCTCCGGCTCCGGCAGCCACGGCCGGGGTTGTTCCAGTGGTTGCTGGTGCGGGAGCTCAGAGGCACTGGAATGGCACTGGGAGGCTTTGTGCTGGGAGTGGGGGGGTCTGTGCTGAGAGCAGGAGGTGGAGGAGGCTCCGAGCTGGCCCCTGGATCACATCAGGGCCCGAACTCAGTGGGAATCCGGGATGGAGAGTCCCTGGATGCGGCTCAGCCTCGTCCTCAGGCACATAGTGGGATTTTTGGGGGTGTTTTGTGCAGGGCCAGGAGCTGGAGCTGATGATCTTTGGGGGTCCCTTCCAACTCGAGATATTCCATGATTCCATGATTCCCACAAACCTCTCCATCCCAGCGCTGTGTTCCATAGAAAGGTGGGAGCAGCACCCGCCACATCCAGGGGAGCAGACCAGGGCTGGGACACCCACACCCCTCTGCCCTCTCCCTTTCCAGACCAGGAGCTCCCGACACTCCCAGGGCTCCCAGCCTGGCTTGGCTGACCAAGCCAAGCTCTCCTTCGCCTCGGCCGAGTCCCTGGAGACGATGTCGGAAGCGGAGCTGCCCCTGGGGTTCAACAGGATGAACCGGTTCCGGCAGAGCTTGCCCCTGTCCCGCTCCACCAGCCAGACCAAGCTGCGATCTCCAGGTACCCTCAGGCTCTGCCAGGGACCTTGCCTGGCACCCAACACCCCTGCGTGGTGCCGGGACAGGGCCTGGCTCCCTCACCTCACCCCCCCTCTGCTCCCTCCGCTTCCAGGGGTCCTTTTCCTGCAGTTCGGGGACGAGACGAGGCGCGTGCACATCACGCACGAGATCAGCAGCATGGACACCCTGCACGCCCTCATCGTGCACATGTTCCCCCAGAAGCTCACCATGGGCATGCTCAAGTCCCCCAACACCGCCATCCTCATCAAGGACGAGTCCCGAAACGTCTTCTACGAGCTGGAGGATGTCCGGTGAGGAGGGAGGAGGAGGGCTCGGGAATCCTTTCTTTGAAGGCATCATGAGTGGGGTGGGATGAAGCGAGAAATGGGGGTGTGGGTGCAGTGCTGGGACTTTCAGGGGTGCCTGGCCGGGATGCTCAGGCTCTGCTTCTCCCCCCAGTGACATCCAGGACAGAAGCATCATCAAGATCTACAGGAAAGAGCCTCTCTACGCCTCATTCCCAGCCTCACACATCACCAACGGTGACCTGAGGGTAAGGGGGGGCACGGGGTGTCACAGGGAGAGCCTGGGGGGTGGGTGCACCCAGTGCAGTCTGGCCAGGAAAGAGAGAAAGCAACAGAGACTGGTATTTCCATGTGTTTGGGCAGGAGGGATGGCTGGGGTTCATCTTGCCTGGATCCAGGGCTTTTAGGGGTTGCTTTAAGAGAGTGGATGTTTGGGGCCCGACAGCGGGGCAATAAACACGGTGTTTGGGGAATTCAGCAGAGCAAACCACCCTGCAGCTGGATGGGAACGAGGGGGATGTTTTTTGCCTAAGCTGTTGGTGCTTGGAGGGGTGGAGGGTCCCAGCGGGGCGGAGCAGGGCAGGGGATCAACCCAGGGCAGGGGATCAACCCCCCAGTGGGACACGGTGCTGACCCCCTGCCCATCCCCACAGAGGGAGATGGTGTACACGTCCAGGGAATCCTCTCCCACCCGCCGGCTCAACAACATGTCCCCGGCGTCCCACCTGGCCTCGGGGTCGCCCCCGCCCGTGCTGCAGTCCTCGTCCCCGTCCCGCTCCCGCATGTCCTACAGCGGGGGCCGCCCGCCCTCCTACGCCGGCAGCCCCGTGCACCACGGCGAGCGCCTGTCCAACCTGCCGCCCGCCCAGGGCGTGTCCCCCAGCCCCAGCGCCATCCTGGAGCGCCGCGACGTCAAGCCGGACGAGGACCTGGCCGGGAAGAACGTGGTGCTGGTGAAGAACGAGGGGCTCTACGCCGACCCCTACGGCATGGTGCACGAGGGCCGGCTCAGCATCACCTCCACGCAGTCCCTGGCGGGCATGGGCGACCCTTTCGGCTACTCGGGGGGGCTGTACAAGCGGGGCTCCGTGCGCTCCCTCAGCACCTACTCGGCGGCCGCGCTGCAGTCGGAGCTGGAGGACGGTCTGTACAAGCCCAACGCGCCCATCTACAGCGACACCTACGGCCCCGGGCTGGGCTTCCGCATGCCCCCCTCGTCCCCGCAGAAGATGGTGGATGTGCAGCCGGGCCAGAGCCCCCACAGCCCCTACTCGGGGCCCCCCAGCCGCTCCTCGCCCGTCCGCCAGTCCTTCCGCAAGGATTCCTGCTCCTCGGTGTTCATGGACAGCCCCGTGGGCAAAACGCGCAACCCCAGCTCCTCCGGCCCCCCCGAGCTCTTCCCCGGCCCCGGCGAGCGCCCGCTCTCAGGGTTTGGCTCCCCCGGGCCCGCCAAGGACACGGAAACGAGGTGAGATGGGGTGTGGGAGAAGCCCCCCATGGACACGAGCCTTGCTGCTCCGGTGGTTTTCCGTCGGGGCGGCTGGGGAGGTAGAGCAGGAGTCAAGGAAAGCTTTGGATCATCCCCAGTGTGGCAGGTGCCGGGATGGGGAATGAGGCACCGAGTGAGGGTGGAGGGGAGCGGCTGGGGGTGCTGGAGGCAGGAGAGAGAGGGAATGGGCGGGGTGGATGTGGCTGGGGCCGATGTCCCTGCTGGGGCTGCAAGGAACAGCTGGATGTGAGCGAGGCCAGGACAAACCTCACGGTGTCCTTGGCTCCTCACCCGTCCCCTCTTCCTTTCCCCACGCAGGGAGCGGATGGAGGCCATGGAGAAGCAGATTGCCAGCCTGACGGGGCTGGTGCAGAGCGCTCTGCTCCGCGGCTCCGAGGCTGAGACCCCCAGGTGAGGAGCGGGAGGGCACCTATGGGTCTCAGGGTGGGGGAGGCCTCCAGCTGAGCTGTTTGCTGCCAGTACCGGGAGTCCTGTCCCCCTCCCAGGGGCTCCTGCCTTCACCCAGTGAGGATGGAGGTGCCTGGTCCACACTCACTCCCCTTCTCTCTCTGTTGTTGCAGCGAGAAAACAGAAGCCACCAACGGTGGGACCCCCCCATCGGCGTGTAAGTGGCTGGAGATAATCCCCTCGCCCTGCAGCACCCCCTCCTCTGCCCACGGGTGCTGGGTGTCTCAGGGAGGGTGCAGGAGTGGGGTCTGCACCCCGCCACGTGCTGGCAACCAGCGGAACCCCTCCACCATCCCACTCTGGGGCAGCTCCAGGGTGGCCTCTTGGAGCAAGCAAGGGGGGGTAGCTTTGGAGACCATTAGGACTGAGGGACTGGGTGGGGAAATAAGAGAAGCAGGGGTTGAAACCTGTCCTGGGGTGGGACATCACATTTCAACAGCCTCTGCTTTACCCCTCCCCATCCCCCTCACAGCCACCAGCCGCAGCGGGGGGACCCCGGTGCCCGCACCGCCGCCGCCCTCGGCCACCAGCACGCCGGCGGGGCAGCCCACGGCCATCACCCGCCTGCACATGCAGCTGCACCTGCACGACCTGCAGCAGAACGCCAGCGACCTCCGCAACCAGCTGCAGCAGCTCAAGAAGCTGCAGGTGGGTACCCCTAGGGAGGATGGGCGTCCCCAGCCCGGGGGTTCCCAGCTCGTACTGGGGGTGCGACAGGAAAATCCCCTTTTCCCCCCTCCTGCTGCACAGGAGCTGCCACGCCCCCCTGGGGTTCTCACAAGAGTGACAGCCTGTGCCCTCCTCCTGTGCTCACCTGGGGCAGGTGGCTGCCTGTGGGGCTGGGGGAAGGTTGGCAGCTGTTGGTCGGGACACGGTGCTGATGACACCAGGGGTTGTGGGCTGGTTTGGTGCCCGTGTGAGCCACGAGGCGGACTCTGATCCCGTCGGGTCCCTTCCCTTTCGGAACACCCTGCGGTGTGGGAGAGCCAGAGGGTCCCTCCCCACGCCCAGCTGGCCTCCTGTGGGGCCCTGTTACCCCTCAGGGTGCCCGTCCTGAATGCACCTTCTACCCCCACAGCTGCAGAACCAGGAGACGGTGAAGACGATGCTGCGGCGGACGGAGACGGAGATCAGCGTGCGGGTGACGGACACCATGCGCAAGCACGAGGACCCTCTGCAGCGCCAGCGCAGCTTGGTGGAGGAGGAGCGGCTCCGCTACCTCAACGAGGAGGAGCTCATCACCCAGCAGCTCAAGTGAGCCCGGGCAGGGGGTCCTTGCACCCCCCTCGAGGGGCCACATCCTCCCTGGGTGTAGGTTGGCGGCTGTGCCCACTGCCAGGATGTGTCCCTGCATGAGGGGGGGTCCCCAACCCAGAGGTCCCCTCCCTTCTGCCACCCCTGGGGTTCTCCAGTGTCATGGCACAGCAGTGACACCCCTGCCCTGCTTCTGTGCTCACAGTGACCTGGAGAAGTCTGTGGAGAAGATCCAGAAGGATCTGGCCCACAGTCACCGGCTGATCCCCGTGCAGGAGCTGGAGGAGAAGGCGGTGGTGCTCAAGCAGCTGGGGGAGACACTCACAGACCTGAAGGGTGAGGATGGGCTGGGGGGGGACAAGCGGAGCCTTCCTGTGTTTCCCTGCTCCATCCCTGTGTGTGGGATGCTCCAGGATATCCGTTGCCTCTGGGTTTGAGTGTTTGCCCCTGCCAGTGTGTCCCTCTGCATTCCTGGAGCAAATATCCCAGTGCCCATCGGCACTGTGCGTGTCCTGGTGCCCGTGGATGTGGAGGGGCCACCTTCCCGGGCTAAAATTGGTGCCTGTGGGCGGACAGAGAAGGGATGAGGGGCCTGGGGAGCCCAGGCTGCCCAGGATGCACCCCTCGTGCTCCAACCTGGCAGGGTGCCCTTGCCCTGCCTATGATGGACATGGTGCTTTTGGTGGGGTGGGGTGGGCACTGAGAGGGTCTCCCCAGCACAAGGGGGCCACGGTGACCCCCAATCTCCCCCCCCCCAGCCCAGTTCCCCAGCCTGCAGAGCAAGATGCGGGTGGTGCTGCGGGTGGAGGTGGAAGCTGTGAAGTTCCTCAAGGAGGAGCCGAACCGCCTCGATGGGCTCCTCAAACGCTGCAAGACAGTGACAGACACCCTCGCCCAGATCCGCAGGTGAGCCCCAAACCCAGCCCCTTGGACACCTCGGCTGTCCCTCTGTCCCCACATGTGTCGGTGCCCTCTGAGTTAATCCCAAATCCCAGCAGGAGGGGCATCCAAGGGATGCTGATAAATGGCTCATTTTTCTGCTAAGGAACTCAAAACCACCCTCAGTCCTCTCCAGGTCCATGTGGGAACCCCTCTTTTCCTTATCACTTGGAAAAAGGAGGGACTGTACGTCAGGAAGGAAAGACAACCCCTTGGGGTGACCAGAAATCCCTTTCCTGAGGAGCAGGGAATTGCTCTGCTGGATTAAAAATCAACCAGCCATCTCCCAGAGCTAATGCCCATGGCAGGCTGGGCCATGCACCATGGTGGAGCCCACCTGCCTCTTCCCATTAGGAGACCTTTCGGGATGGCTCAGGGCTCGGCCACGCGCCGGCTCCGGGATCGCCTCGGGCTCGTCACTAGCCTGGTTTTCCACACAAATTAGCCTGTAGGATCCTGCAGTGTCTGAACTGCCTGGCTGTCATCCTGGCCCCTAATAACTCCTGCCTCCAAAGGGCAGTTTCAGCCAGGTCTGATGGAGAGGAAGGGTTTGGAGAGATCCAGTTTCCTATGAGGGTCACGAAAACAGGCAGCCAGGTAGAGGGGCTCTCGTTCAGGGGTTCCCCCGAAAGAGGCTGCACCGTCAGCCCCAACCCCTCCCCAGCCACCAGAGCACCGTGTAATGCAGGAGGGCAGGTGGGGAGGGTGCAGTGGCCCCCTTGGTGCCGTGCAGCCCCCCCAGCAGCCATCACTCTGCCCCCGGCAGGCAAGTGGAAGAGGGCGTGTGGACCTCCCCCAGCAACCTCAGCCAGTCCCCCAAGAAGGTGGCCCCCGAGACAGACTTCAGCAAAGGGCTGGATTTGGAGATGCCCACCAGCCCCCCCGTGAGCCTCCACCACTTGACAGCCGCCACCGAGAGCCTGGGCATGCCCAGCTTCGGGCACAGCCCCCCCCAGACCCAGAGCCACCCCTCCAAGAGCAATAACCCTGCCCGAGCCCCTGAGATGGTGCCCGCCAAGACCCAGACGGGGCCCGAGACGCCCAGCAAGAAGAGCGCGGACAAAGCTGTGTCCGTGGAGGTGAGAGCCGGGGGGAAGGGGGGTCCTCAGCTCTGGGGATGGGGGCTCTTCTAGAGGGTCTTTCTGTGCCTCCCAGCTGAAACTGGGAACAGGAGCTCCTTCTCCTCGCGGGGGTGGCTGTTGGGAGCCCTGGGTGATGCAGCACTGGGAGCTCCCCCGTTGCATGGGGGTGGTTTTGCAGCTTGGGATGGGGGACAGCGCTGGCACCCCAGCTCCTCCCAGGCTCGGCAGCAGGTTGGGGGGGTGGCAGCAGGGCTGGGGGTCACATCCTGCCTGCGAGGGCAGGAGGAGCTGCAGCGTGGAGGGGACTGGATGGGGCTCTGCCTGCCGTCCACAGGCGGCGGAGCGGGACTGGGAGGAGAAACGGGCAGCGCTGACCCAGTACAGCGCCAAGGACATCAACCGGCTGCTGGAGGAGACGCAGGCCGAGCTCATGAAGGCCATCCCCGACCTGGAATTCGCTGCCAAGCACAAACAAGCCCCGGGCAGCGGCAGCGCCGCCTCCACCCCTGAGCACAAACCCTCCAAGCCACAACACGCGCCCAAATCGGGGGGCAAAGGGGACCCCAATGGCCGCAGGGGCTCAGGTACGGCCTGGGGTCACCCCTGTACGTGGGGCTGGGGGGTGGTGGTGCCCCAGGGGCCCTGGGCTGGTCCATGCTGCCCCGAGGGGAGGTTTGTGCCCTGGGCAGAGCCGGGGGTGTTGCGTGAGAGGGGCAGGGAAAGGTCTCGTGCCCTCACAGCACCGTTTGTGCCCAGACGAGCTGACGGTGCCACGGTACCGGACTGAGAAACCCTCCAAATCCCCACCACCTCCCCCTCCACGCCGGAGCTTCCCCTCGTCCCACGGGCTGACCACCACCCGCAGCGGCGAGGTCATCGTCACCAGCAAGAAGGAGCCCGGGTTTATGAAGGTAGGGCCCACGGGGTGTGGGGTGGCTGCTGGGCTGGGGACGAGCTGCTCACCCCCAGCAGGACCAGCCCCGGCTCCCGGTGCCCCCCGCCCCTCACCGCCCTGCTCCCCGCTGGCAGAAGGCCGAGTCGGAGGAGCTGGAGACGCAGAAGCCGCAGGTGAAGCTGAGGAGGACGGTGTCCGAGGTGGTCAGGCCGGCCTCCACCCCGCCCATCATCGCCTCGGCCATCAAGGACGACGACGACGAGGATCGGATCATCGCCGAGCTGGAGGTGGGCACGGGGTGGGGGCTGCGGGACCCCCAGCTCACCCGCCCCTCAGGGGGTGCCCACCCTGCCCTGCCTGCTCGTGGGTGGCTGTGCCCAGCTCAGGGAGCACCTCGGGGTGGGGTGTGGGGTGTGGGGTGTGACAAGGGCACCACAGTGGGATTCCCAGTCCTTGCCTGTCTCCCATCAGGAATGCGGTGCTGCAGGGACAGGGAGGGACAGACCCCTCGCTGGGTCCAGGTGCTGCACACGAGGGTCACTCTCTCTGGTCAGCACTTCCACCCCATCTCGGGCTTTAAGCTGAGCTCGTTTGGTTTTTAACACTCCAGGGTTGCAGCCAGAGGTTTGTGGGCTTTTGTGCACGGGGCACTGCAGAGGTGCCACCTGAAATACCACCCTCAGGCTCTGCACCCTCCCGGCTGGCTGTGCCCCACCTCCTGCCCCTGTTTGCTGCCGTGGAGGCGCCCAAGTGGGTCATGGATGGCTTTTCCTTGGCGGGTTTTCCCCACTGAGGCAGGAGAACTGGTGATGGAGCAGGCAGAGGGACTGGACCTGTGATGCTGCAGGCAGGACCGGTGGTGCTGCAGGCCTGGGGAGCAGTGACGCTGCCAGCAGCAGAGGGGACGAGGCTGCCCCTGCACCTGATAACAGCCAAAGTTTCTTTCCCTTGCTGCCAAGCCCCCGCCGTGGCGTGACCATCCCTGCAGGCACAGGCTGCATCCTCCTCACCCCAAGCCTCCCTCCTCCAACTGCCCGTGTTTGACTCCCCAGGTATTTCAGAGAAGCTCTGCCTCCCCTTTCCTCCCCAAGCTGCGTCACGAGCCGCTCGTGGCCGTGCCCCCCGGGCTGGCAGAGCTGTGGCCCAACGGAGCCTCCGTTGCAGCCCAAGGATGGAAGGTAACGGCTCGCTCTGAGCGACCACGGGGCTGCACTTTCACCACCTGCTCTCCTGCCTCTCTTTTACTCACTGCTGCCTCTTCCTCTGGTTTAACAAACTAATGGCCTCTCTCCACTGCCTCGCTCACCGTCTCTGCGTGGCCGGCACTGACACGGCACAGGACCCAGCACTAACCCATCCGACGGCCCTGTGGTTCCTGAGAGGGCCAGGTCCGGATGGGAGGAAGGAAGGGGCCACCCCAGCACCACTCTGGGTGTGGCACAGGGAGGGCTGGCTGCTCTCACCCTGCACTGGGTGCCCAGGGGGTGTCACTGGTGGGCGCTGCATGGGAGACCCTGCTCCTTGTGCATGATGAGGGCAGAAGGTGAAGGGCTGGGGGGTCTCTGCTTGGGCCTGGCCCTGGGTCCCTCCCCTCTCCTGGGACACCAGGGCTGAGTTGTCCATCTGTCCCTGTGTGCCAGGACCCCTCTTCAGAGGTCAGATGTGTCCAGCTCCAGACCCAGAGCTCCGTGGCCATCCCAGCACGGGTGTTTCCTTCCCTCTCTGCCCCAGGCTCGGGGGCAGCTGCAGGGGCACCTCTTCTGCCAGGGCATCTCTCTAGCTCACCTGCCCTCAGCTCCGTGGAGTGCACAGCTGGCTCTGGCTCCCCAGGCACTGCACAGCTCACTGGATCTCCCCTGGGATGGGAACAGGGAGGTGGGGGAGGGAGAGCAGCATTTTCCAGCTGACTTCTCACTACTCAGGGTTTCAAAGGCCGGCTGCCCCTCGGCAGCTCGTTTGTGATGGCTCATCCCCTGCTGAAGCTCTGCCAGGAGCTGGGCTCTGCTCTTGGCACCAGTGCTGTGCCAGTTTACACCAGCACGGAGAAATCCAAGCTGGATGGTTGGCAGTCGGATTTCTCAAGGCATTCGGGAGGTGCAGCAACACCAACTCATTTTTTTGCTGGTTAAACTCCAGGTAGTTCATTGCCAAAATCTGCCAGGCCCAGCGTGCCTTAAGCACAATAAAACCAGTCCCAGTCTGTGCTGTGGGTGCTGATGGGACATCAGGGCTGGGCAGGAGGGAGAGGAGCATCCCCTCCCTGCAGCGATGCCTGGAGGCACCAGAGGACCCCAGTGGTGTGTGGGGACACACCAGCAGCTCCTGCTCCCCACACTGGCTCCTAATCTGTCTGAATTCTCTACCTAGGAGCCGCTGGCCCTGGCAGTCCCGGGGAGCCGGGCTTTCTCCCTCCCACAGATTGTGCTCACCGAGTGGGTGTCGGAGCCGCCGTCCCCCGAAGCCGAGCCGGAGGTGTGGGTGGAAACGGGCAGCGCAGGAGCAGGAGGGGAGTTTGCACCCAAGGGGGCAAGGAAAGGCCCTGTGGCTCCTGACAGCCCCAAAAAGTCTCCATTGGCACACGGGCACCCTCCAGCTGCGGCCCCACAGCCCCCCAGCAGCTCGTCTCGGGGTGGTGCTCGTGCAGCAGGAGAGATCTGGGGGTTCTCCTTCCCAAGGGATAAAACGAGCCACCCCACGGGGGGACAAGGAGGGGACACGGCTCTGAACGCTGCCAGCAGGAGAGAGGGCAGCAGCAAGACTTGTCACCAAGTGGCTGCACAGGCTCCTCAGCCCCGGGGGGAAGCCGCGGGTGCCGGAGTCGGAGGGGCCTCAATTCCCTCCACCGGTGGCATCGTCCCCCAAATTCCCAGTGATGGGGACCCCCAAGGAGGAGCCAGGCAGAGCGTGCAGGAGGCACCACTCCCTCCTGGAGGCTCTGCTGGGGCTTCCAAACCAGTCCCAGCCTGCCTGGTGCCGAATCCCGAAGCTTTCCCGGTCAGGGGAAAGAGCCCATCCCTGGCTGAGCATCCCCCAGCGCAGGTCACTGTGTGCCCAAGGACAGGCCATGGCACAGCAGCTCCGGGAAGGGATGGAGGGGCTCCGGCTGCCGGGGGGACACCGGAATGGGGAGGAAGGTGCCGGAGGGGCTCTGCCAAGGGCCGCCGTCCCCTCGCCGCCCCACCACGCCAGGCAGCAAGGAGGTTTATGAAGACACGTACCAGAGACTGGACAGCCTGGAAGAGACCATCCGAGAGCTGGAGATGACCATCAGTGAGATCAGCAGCCACCCCTCGGTGGGGTCGGTGTTCCCTAAAGACCTGCTGGGACAAGCGGGACCCAAGGAGGACGGCCAGGACACCAAGGAGGGTCTGGGGGACCTCAAGCAGAGGAGCTGTGATGATGGGACTGTGCTGGACCTCAGTCAGGCCAAAGAGGATGCTCCCAGGAGCCCATCCCCCAGCAAGACCAAGCCACCGCTGCTCCCCAAGCCGCAGCTGCCCCCCGGCATTCTGCAGGTTTATTTTCTATTATCCCTCTTGCCGTGCTCTGCCCTGGACTCACTCTGATGTCTCTTCCTCCACCTCTACCTGCTCCCTCTCTGTGACTCTACCTCCAGGCAGAGCCAAGGTGGAAAACCGACCTTCTTTCCTCCCTGTCACCTGTTTGGGAATTGCAGGCAAGCAGGAATGAGCTGAGGGAGGAGTTGGCAGCAGGAAGGGAGATGGTCCCAGGCAGTGCTGCCGGGTCCCATCCAGAATCAGCCCCTGGATAAGGTGGTGTGCTCTGCCCCAGCAGGTTTTGGGGCTGAGCGCGGTGCTGGTGATGAGCAGAGGGTGCACGATGAGCGTTCCATTTGATCCATGATGAGCATCCCATGGGGTCCCTGATGAGCATCCCGTGGGATGCAGCGAGGGCCGGGTGCTCCGGGTGGCGAAGCCTCGTCCTTCGTCTCACCATTTTGCATAAACGCTTTCCTGATGAGCTGCAGTTGGAGCCTGGCAGATGTTTCTCCTAATTAAATCACAGCGCGGGCTCCCTGAAGCCATCCAAATTGCTTTCTGCTGGAATCCAGCTGGATAGCTGGGAAAAGAGAGGGAGGGGGGGAAAAATGCCCCGAGCTGCTCTGACATCAACCTGCTCCTTTATTAACAGTCAGCACTGGGGAATAAATCTCCTTTCCCATTTGGAGCCGTTGGTTCCCAGCAGTGCTGGGCCCCGCTGGGGTGCTCTCGCTGGGTGAATGGGCTGGCAAGTGGGTGTAGCTGCAGTTTTCCCTGCTGTTGGCTCCTGCTGCACCTCTGGAGCTTGTGGGAAAATAGGAGTGGAGCTGTGGGATGGATTCATGGCTGCGGCTGAGACGTGCGGGCGTGCACAGAGCAAAGCTCAGGGTTAGGCTGGAGAGGCTGCCCTGAGTCCGTCCTAAAGCAGGGAGGGAGAGGGCAGGTGTTGTGCCCCCTTCCAAGGGTGCTGTGTTGGTTGGGAAGGTTCCCAGTGCCTGCTGTGGGAATGCTGGAGCTCCGGAGATGTTGTGGTGCAGGTACATGTGGGATTGTCGGAGTGTGCTGTGCAGGGCCGGGAGCTGGAGCTCAGTGATCCTCGTGGGTCCCTTCCAGCTCAGGATATTCCGTGATCCTGAGATTTCTTTGTGCTGTGGGGTACAGGAATCCCTGTGAGCCCTCCCTGAGGATCACAGGTGACCTGTTGGCTCTCCCTGTTGGCACGGGGCAGGCAGGAGGCCGCGGTGATGGCAGGGAGAGGATCTGGGGTGCCCCAGGCGTGGGGGGGACACGTGAGGCACCGCTTTGGGGTGGGGAGGGGGTGTGCCCAGGTACCACATCCCTCACTGCTGCTCTTGCAAGACTTTGTGTCTCCACCCGTGCACAGCCAGTTAATAAACACCTCTGTACTCCCACTGCCGCCGTTCCCACCTGGAATCTGCTTCTGCCTGCCGCCGCCTCTTTCCCCCTCTCTTGGCCGTGCACCCCTGCCCCGGCGGGGTGTCCTCCTCCTGCCCTCGGTCTCCCGGTGTTTGCCGTGTCTGTCCCTCTTTGGTGCCTCCTGGTAAGTCCTGGGTGGTTTGGCAGCTCTCCCACGAGAGCTCCAGTGGCACGAGGAGCCGGTGACCTCGGCCTGGCCTGGCTTTGCCACCCTGGGCACCCCGGGCAGGGTCATCCCGATGGTGCCGCGGTGGGCTCAGGCACAGCTCCGGGTGTCCCGTGCCAAGCAAACTGCCAGCAGTGCCGGTGGGGGCTTCACGGGCCAGTTTTGACCCCTTTCCCCAATTGTCTGTCCCGGCAGAGCGGCGGTGTGTCCATCCCGGCCATGAAGGTGGTGAACCCGGCGTCGCGGCTGAAGCAGAGCCAGCAGGGCAGCCCCGACAAGAGCAAGCACATAAAGCAGCGGATGGAGTACATGCGGATCCAGGGCCAGCAGCAGGTACTCCATCCCTACTGCCCACGGCCCTGGCCTGGCCTCGGGCAGGGCCTGAGCCTGGGTGAGGGGCACGGGAGACCCTGAGGGTGGTGCTTTTGGAGACCCGGCTGTCTCGGTGCCTGCTTCGCCCTGGCTGAGCCTGGTGGGGCTGGGGGGCACAGGGATGTGGCTGTTGGGGTGCCTGTGCCCGCCCTGGCTGTTGGGGACAGGGAGCTGACTTCCTGCTGAGCATGACAAACGCCCCCAGCATGGTGTGAGGATGCAGTTGGAGTCGATTGTCCCCCAACCTGGCGCGTCCCCGCTGGAAGGGCTGAGCCCCAGCGTTGGTCCCCTCGCCCCAGGGGACCCCGAGAGCTCCTTGGCCATGGAGATGAGCGTGGCAGAGCCGTGTGCTTGGCACGGGGGCTCCAAAGGGGATTCACTTACCAGGGCTGGGGCTGCCCAGCCCGTCCTGGGAGGTTTTGGGGAGCCGGGACCCTCCGCGACGCCGCGTCCGCAGAAGCAGCTTATCCTGGGAGGGGGGGTCACAGGCAGGGTGATGGTATTTGGGGTGCCTGGCAGTGTGTAGGGGAGGTTGGTGAGTGGGCCACAGCAGCTGGAAGAGAAGCATTTTGGGATGGGAAGGAGTGTCCCCCCACCCAGCACCCAGCACCCAGCTCCCACCCACCCCCATCCCCGGGGGCAGCTCCTGCTCTGTCCTTGCTGACACCCCAGGGCTGGCCATGGACTCCCAGCTTGCTCAGGCCACGGGCAAGGGGACCACGGCCAGTTCCCTCCCTCCTCACCTCTTCTCCCCCCCTCCCAACACCCCCTTTCCCCTCAGTGGGCAGCACGAGTGGGCTCACCCCCTGCTCTCCCCCAGTACTCCCTGCTCTGTGTCTTGAGCCCCTTCCAGGGGCCTGGCATCCAAAAAAAACCCCATCCAATAAACCCAATTCTGCTCATTCTGTAGGATCCATAAACCCTGTTAGATAAACCAAAGGTTTTTTTACCAGCTACTTGGAGCAGGACTGGGGAGGATTTCTTGCAATTTGGGCAAACATTGCATGGGCATCTTGCACCTCCTTTGGCTCTGGCAAGAGGGCTCAATCCCACCCTTGGCTGTTCCATCCCCTGGGTCCTTCACAGTGGCAAGACATCCCCAGGGAGGGTCCATCCTCGAGGTCAGGGGTCTCCCTGTCAGTCCCCCCTGGTATGTGGGGGTGCATGTGGGTTTCCACACCCTGCAGAATCAGGAGGAGGCAGAGGGTTCCCTCTACCCCCTGTCCAGGGCTGAACCATGGATAAACACCAGCCAAGAGGGCTGTGCTGGGAGCTCCAAGGGGCTGGGAAACATCTCCTGGCCCCGGACACCAAAGGGAGGCCACCAAATCCCCTTCCCTGGCAGCCACACCCCAGCTAGGCCTGGCTGTTCAGTGTCACCCTGGTCCTTCTTGTCCCCAACCTTGGGGCACTGTCAGTCACCCGGCCCCTGGCACCTCCCAGTGCCCTCTCTGGGGTGGCCAGAGCACGAGTTTTCCAGGTCATTTTTGTCCTCACTGCCCTCCTTGTGCAGGAATTTTCCACATCGGCCCTGCCCAGCAGCCCAGGGCTGGAGGCTCCCTCTCCCAATTCCATGAGGGTTTATGAGCATCTCCCTCCCGGAGCCCTGGACCAGCTTTAGGAGTGGGGATGGGTCCTGGCCGTGCAGGACAGGGTGGGCACCGTCACCCCAGGGCCACCAAGGCTCTGGCAGGTGCTGTGCCCGGTCTAACACTGCCCTTCTTGTCCCCCCCTGCCTTTCCCCCCTCTCCCCTCTGCCTGTGTGTGTGTGTGTGTGTGTGTGTGTGTGTGTGCCTGTCTGTCCTCGTGGCCGTCTGTCCATCCGTCTCTGCTCTCGGGGTCGTCCCCTTCCCGTCCAGTAACGTGTGGGACCAGCTCATCTCGTGCTGTTTGTGGTGGCCCTTTTCCAGCTGCTTGACCTCAGGCCTGACTCAATGCTGCTTCTGAACAGACTCCCTTTGGTTCTTGGTTGTTTTGGGTTTTTTTCTGTCCTGTTTTTTGCTGCTTCTTCTTCTTCTTGTTTCCTTTCTTTGTCTTTTTTTTTTTTAAGACTGTTTTTTTGACTTTCCTCCCCTTTCTCCTCCTCCTCCTCCTCCTTGAATCTTACTTTTCTTTCTAGGCCACTAGACCATCTAAAGAGGCCAGTGAGACTTCCCCCACAGTCTCAGAAAAACCCGCATCTGGCAGAACATCCATCCCCGTATTGACTTCCTTTGGGGCAAGGAACTCCTCCATCTCATTCTGAGCATCCTTGCCAGCTCCACCCAACTGCTCCCGGGGGCCGGGCCTCTCTCTCTTCCTTGGGCTCCTCTTCCTCCCTGGGACTTGTCTTCTTGAGGGCACCTGGAGGGATCGTCACCTGTCCCTCTCTTTCTGTTTTATCAATGTCTTGCTCCACTGTGGCCGACCTCGTGTCTCGCCTCTGCTCCGCCACGGCCCGACTTGTGTCTCGCCTCCGCTCGCCACGGCCCGACTTCTGTCTCCCATCTCGCTCCGCAATGGCCAACCAGCCACTTTCTGTTTCTCTCTCTCTCTCTCTTTCTCTTTTTCTTTACTTTCTCCCTTTCCCTTTCCTTTGGAATCGCTGTTGGTTTGGTTTTTCTCCCCTCCCTCCCCGCCCCTCCCCACCCGCCCCCCGCCGTTTTTTTCTGTTCATTTAAGAGCTCTCAGAGCTTCACCCCACCAGTTCCACCGGCTTCGAGCAAAGAGGAGCTCCCGGGCCGGGCAGCGCCGCGCCAAGGTGGGAAACGGCGGCTGCCGAAGACGCCCCTGAGCCGTCCAGGCGCCCCGAGCGTCCCGGGAGCCCCCCGGCAGGAGCAGAGGACCCCCGGCGCTCCGGCCAGGGCTGGGCGGGGGTGGCCGGTGACGCCGTGGCCGCGCCGCGTCCTTCGCTGGCCGAGGGCTCGGCGACGTCCCTGGGGGCTGTCACCGCTGCCACCCCCAGGTCACCCCGGGGCACGGAGGGAGGCAGGAGGGGCCGGGGGCGGCCGGGCGTGCCGGAGGGGCGGAGGTGAGGGTGTAAAATGGGGAGGGGCGGAACGAAGCACTTTAACTGAGCGCTGGGGCGGGGGGGACAGGGGGCGGTGAGGGGGGTCCCGCCGCACGGGGACACCCTGCCCGGCCTCTGTCACCTCCCCCAGGGGACAACCAGGTGGGACAATCCCCGGAGCCCCCTGTTCCGGGTGGGGATCCCACCTTGGGGGAGCAGCCCTGACCTTGCCGAGACTGGGGGACCTGAGGGGTCCCCGGGGTGCGTGGCCTGGTGATGCCTGTCCGTGGCCACCACCCATCACAGCTGAGCCAGGTGTGCTCCAGGTGTGCCCAGGTGTGCCCAGCTGTGCCACAGGAGTGCCCAGGTGTGCTCCAGGTGTGCCCAGGTGTGTCCAGCTGTGCCCAGCTGTGCCACAGGAGTGCCCAGGTGTGCTCCAGGTGTGCCCAGGTGTGTGTGTGTGTGCGTGTGCGTGTCACTCTACGTGTGTGCCCAGTGCACCACAAGATGGAATCACTCCTTTCGTTGGCTAAAAATTCGTCCTTGGGTTGGTTTGTTTTTCTTTTTTTATTTTTAATTATAATTCTTTTTCTTCTTTTTCCCCCCTACTCCCTCCCCTCTTTTTTTTGTATCTCGATCATTTTTGTACAGAAGAACGAGCCTTTTTTGAATAACAAAGAGAAAACAAAAAAAAACCAAAAAGAAAAAAAAAAAGGAAAAAAAAAATCATGATGCAATTTCTTTGGATTGCAAAAAGCAACTCTTTACATTTAAGTGAAGTGTCTTAACATTTTATATTGTTTTAAAAATATATTTACATATTATATATATATAATATACGTAATATAAATATATATATATAAATATTTAAAGAGAAAAGAGAAGAAATAAATCACGTCTGGTATATTAGGGGGTGGATTTTATCCCTGGTTAGACTAGAGCTCCTTGTGGTTTTGAGAGGGCCGGTTCTGAGCGGCTTCTTCGCCCTCGTGCTGAGTTCCCATCCTCCTTCCAGCACTTTCCTTGTCCCACCGCCGTCCCCATCCCTCAGATCTCCAGGGCTGGGTGGCCCTGGGGACACTGACACCCGTGGGTGCCACCCCCGGGGTGGGACAGCTCTTCCCCCACACTTTCCCGGCAGCAATAGCAGTCACTTGATGCTTTTAATTTCCTTTTTAATTCTTTTCCTTGGTACCAAAGTGAATCATTGTAGCAAAGCCGCAGCTTCTTAGCCCGGGATGGGGTGGGTGGGTCGCCCCCACCCACCCCCATCTCCCCAGCTCTGCCCCCTCCCTCCCCCACGCTTTGCAGCCCCCACACCCATCCTGGCGCTCCGTGGGGGTGGATGTGGCGCTTCCCAGATGCACCAACAACCCCCCCTTCACCTCGGGGAGGTGCGAGGGTGACAAGTGCCACCCCCCCAGGGACACCCCCAAAGGTGCTGGGGAGGGGCTGCACTTTGTTCAAACCCCATCCCAGCAGCACCCATGGGTGGCCAGGACACCCATAAAGGTACTGGGGGGGTCTGTGTTAGTGCAGCCCCATCCCATGGGTGCCCAGGGCACCCATAAAGGTGTCAGGGGGCTCTGTGTTAGTGCAAACCCCATCCCAGCAGCACCCATGGGTGCCCAGGATCCCCCTCCCAGCACTCCCTGCAGAGCAGGAGGGTGTTGAGGTGCCCAGCTCTGGGGTTTGGGGTGCCCAGCTCTGGGTTTTGGGGTGCCCTCCGCCGAATAAGGGGGTGCACAGTGCTGGGTGAGGGGGTTCACGGCGCTGCCTTGCACCCAAATCCCCCAAAGCCCCCCTGTTTTCCCCCCTCTCTCCCACCCATCAGGCTGGTTTCTCCGTGAGCGTGTGCGTCCGTCCTTTCATGGCATCATGCAAAAAAAAAACACAAACACCAACAAACCCCTCCCTTGAGCACCCAGCTCGGTGCTTTTGCTGAAGCAAGAGAACAAAAATACAAATAAAAAAAAAAAAAAAAAAAAAAACACCAACAAACAAATAAAGCAACGTGATTCTGGTTCAAAACCAGGAAAAAAAAAAAAAAAAAACCAAAAAAACAGGAAAATGTTGCAAAAATGCTCAGAAAAAAAAAAAAAAAAGGCAAAAAGAACCAAGCGCTGCCTGCATGTGTCGGAGGCGCCCGCTGCATGAGCACCCCGCTTTACTCGTCTGGATGTTGTTTAAAAAAGGCTACGACTCTGAAAAGGGGAAAAAAAAAAAATATATATATATATAAGAAAAAGAAGAAAAAAAAAAAAAAAAGAGTTCCTGATTCTCTTTAGAGGCTGTTTTGGGGTTTCTACGACGTCTCGTGTGTCTCTTCGCATGAATTTTCTCGTGAACTGTTTTAAAAGAAAAATAGGGGGAAAAAAAAAAAGGATGGATAAAGGAATAAAAAGAAAAAAAAAAAAGGAAAAAAAAAGGAAAAAAAGGCCTTGGACAGGGTGGAGGTGGGGGGTGAGGAGGGGGCAATTGGGGGTCTGGACCCCCCTGTGCCCCTCTCCTTGTGCCCCCCTTGTCCCCCCACCCCGTGTCGCTGTGGATGCCATGGGTAGTTCTGTGCACAACGTGACCATTGTAATTGCAAATCCCATGACAAAGGGTTGCTTTTTATTTTCCTTTTCCCTTTAATACTTTTCTTTTCTATCAGAGTGTCTGGCTTTAATAAAATTACTTTTTTTTTTTTTTTCTCTCTCTCTCTCTCTGGTTTTTTTCCACACCTCCCAAAGCCTTCCCCAGGTTGGGAATTTTTGTCTCATGGTGGGGTGGATGGGGTGGGACATCCCCAACTCTGAGACCACCCTGGTCCCCCATCCCTTGGGGCTGTCAGTGGGCATAGGGGTCCATTTCCTTCTCCCAGGCTCACAGAAAAGCGGGATAAATCCTCCCATGGACAAACCCTTCCATGATAAACCTCCCCTGGATGCTGCCAGCGCTCCAGGACCCACAGCACAAAGACATGGGGGTCCCCACACAGACCCCCCCCCAAACACAATAGGCAATAACAGCAATAACCACCACCTTGAATAACCAGTTTATTTCCAATATATAGACCAGGACTGGAGGGGGGGGGCAAAGCAGGGGGATTTTGGGGTTTTTTTGGGTGGGTTTGTGGGTTTTTTTGCAGTTTTGCATATCCCGGCGCCGCGGCTAACGGGGACAACACAACACGCCGGCAAGGGGGAGGGGGACATGCAGGAGGGTTTAAAAAGTCACCACTGGTCCAGCACGTCCCCCTCTGGTCGGGGCTGGCCTTTCCGCCGAGCAAAACTTCTTAAAAAATCCTTATAAATCCTTTGGAATATGTTACACGGGCAGAGACCATATTTACAGGGGTGGAGGGGAAAGAAAAAATAAAAGAAACAATCAAACAAACAAACAAAAAAAAAAACCCAACAAACTTTACAGCAAATATTTGCATAACGTATGAGAACGACACGGAGGGGACAGGGATGGGACACGCGGCCACTGGGCCGGTGGCAACCTGTGTGCCCCCTCGGCCGGGCTGGGGGTCCCTGCAGCCCCCCCTGAGCCCCCCCTTCCTAAAGTGCTTCTGGCCTGGGGGGCAGGAAGGGGAGCAGGGTGGGAGGGGGCTGGGTCACACCCCGGGACCATGGGGGGGTAAAGCATGGCAGTGTGTGTGTCCCCAGGGTGTCCCTCAGTGCCAGCCCCTCACACCCGCTCCCAGTGCAGACCCCCCAGACCGTGGGGACCCCCCCAGTCGTGCCAAGGGCTCAGCCACACAGAGTGCCCCAAAGAGAGTGACAGTGCCCCACACGGAGCGCCCCAAAACAGGGCGACAGTGCTGAGGTCCCCGGGGTCCCCAGAGCAGGGGTCTGTGGCACTGAGGCCACCAAGCTCCCCCCAGGGCCCCCAGCACAGGGGTCTCTGGCACCAGGGTCCCCAGCACAGGGCAGTCCCCAGAGGAGCAGCCGCAGCGCCCAGGGAAGCGCCCGCACTTCGCGCTGCCGCGGCCGGGACAGCAGGGCCACCACTGCCCGCGGTGGGGACAGTCCCCGTGACCCCCACACCCCTCCTGGCACTGCCCGGGGGGCTGGGGAGCCGTGCAGTGGGACCACGGCGGGACCACGGGATGGGAGCTCCGCAGGACCCCCCTCAAAGCACAGGGGACAAGGCGGCTTTTTGTCCCACCCACCACATCCCCCAAGACCTGTTAAATAACAGCAGCCTGTCCAGAGCACAATTAAATACAGGAACAAGGGCGAGTCCTTAAATTAAACACTGGCTGGGGGAGCCGGGAGGGTCAGAGACACTGAGGGAAGCGCAGGGGGGCCGGGGGGCCGGGGCTGCCCGGGGGGCTCTTGGTGCCCGTCCCCTCCCTGGCGGTGCCAGGCTGTGCCGGGGCGGGCGCCGGGGGCCGGGCTTTGGTGGACTCCAGGCTGCTGAGCCCCGAGTCCTTGTCGTGGCAGGGGCCCGGTGACCCCTCCAGCCCCCGCGGCTCCTTCCACTCGTTGAAGTTGAGGTCTTTGAGGCCGCCGGGCACCACCACCGTGTGCCGGCGCCAGCTGCTCTTCTTGCGCCGGGTCTCGGGGGAGTGGGCTCGGCGCAGCCGGACCCCCAGGACCCCCATGTCGTCGGTCGAGCCCCGCAGGTGCTGCCGGAGCTGCTCCCGCAGCGAGGGCCGCCCGGGGGGGCCCAGCCCTGCTCCTCCCCGGCGGGCGCCGGGGGCTCCCCAATGGGCTGCGGCCGGCCCAGCTTCCTGCGGGCCAGCGTGTCACACTGGATCAGGCGGTGGGAGTTGAAGGAGGGGCGGCCCAGGGGACCCTTGTCCTCGTCACC